AACGCTTCTCCGACTAATGCGTTTGGCGTCCTGTTCTGCCTACGCATTAAAAGTGGCAGCAATCCCGGTGGTTGGTGCCGGAAGTACACTGTAAAAAAGTACGAGTGAACGCGAGTTTCGCTCTCATTGCGGAGTCTCAACTTCTGGCTGCCGAAGGTTCCGTGGGCTACCAAGCTGGAGAACGACCTCCAGCAGAACAAGCGTCTGCCACATCCACGTCCGCTGCTGTAACACCGCCAGGATCGCGGCCGGCGACAGCACACTTCAATGACGTCATCAGCGGGAATCGAAGGACCATAGGCTTGAATGCAATGACGTCATAAAACCCGGATTGTCATGCTGACCATGTCGTGATCCTGGCGGTTGGTCGTAAGAGTGCTGGGAAAAGAACACGAGCGAGTGTGAGTGTCGCTCTCCTCACGGCGTTTCAACTCCTGACTGCCGAAGGTTCTGTGGACTGTCAAGCTGCAAAGCGACCTACGGCAGAATAGGCGTCTGTCAAATCCACCAGGTTTGCTGTGACACCACCAGGGCCACGACCGTCGACAGCATTACCCTTCTATAACATCCTCATGCAGAATTTGAGGGACCACTTTTGTGGACGCGATAGAAATATCCGTCGGGGACGCGTTCCAGGCACCACACTTTTAAATAAAAGTAGCAAAGTTCCCGTGACCGTTAACGCAACGAAAACATAATTTGATACAGTCAGTTTCTTTTATCAAGTAGCGGGGTTACTTGTAAGTGTTTCGCTATAAGTTTACAAATAATAAAAAAAAAATAAAAAAGGCCTCCCCCCTCACCCCGCTCGGCCCCCCCCCCCCCCCCCCCCCCCCCCCCCCCTTTCCTCCCAAAAGGTTATTACAAAGTGTACTATACTTGGCTTCAGCTTAGGTCCGAGCGTGGCCGTTGTTATGAGCCGAAGCAGCCGAGTGCAGCTGTAGCCTCCACCGTGGTAAAGATCGAGAAACTAGCGCCACAAGGCGCTGGTGGCAGAAAAGCGAACATACCTACGGTCGGAGTCGAAAATTGGTCTCGAAAGACTGCCAGATGGCGCCACCACTGTCGTTGGCGTGTAGGGAGGCTCCCTATTGGCGTGCGCCGTGCGCCCTCCTCGCCTCCTCCTCCTCCCCCTAGTTTCCCCCCCCCCCCCCCTCCCCGCTTTTTTTTTTTCTGGTTTGTTTGCTAGACTGGTGCCGCGCTGACAGCTGTGAGCGGCCAGCACGGCACCGGTCTAGCAGACGAGCCGCGCGCGATATACACCAACTCAACTCTCCTACGTCACGCCGCGGTGGTGGCGCGCCGGACGCACTTCCGGTCTGGGGCGGTGGGCAGAAGTCGCCGTGCCAGACGTGCATTCCTGTGTTCCCTTGGAAGAAACGAGACAAAAAACCTGCCTTCTCGTCAAAATGCCGCGACGGGGGTTGTACCAAGAGAGTCTGGAAAGGTTTGAAGATCAGTTCTCATGTGTTTTTGCCCCCTCCGTTCGTCCGAGAACGTGGATAGTAGCCGTGAAAAGGGCAAACCAGACGCTGTCGAACTACGATTGCGTGCGCGGGCAACACTTTGTGGTCGCCAGATGTATTTGCTTTGTTCGAACATAAACGAGAGAAAACCACCAATGTGGTCGCCAGATGTATTTGCTTTGTTCGAACATAAACGAGAGAAAACCACCAAGTTGTCCGAACCACCCACGGGTTCAGTGACACGGCCGCCTGATCGTTCGCACTTTCGTCTGCTCTTTCAAACGTCTGCTTTTTGTCGTCTGCTCGTTCAAACAAAAGCGGCCCGTAGACCAAACTTTGACCCGGTGATTACAATAAGAAGCAACTGCAGGCCTCAAAAGACTTAAGTAGGCTCGGTGTAAACAGTAGATACAAGATGTTGATCATTGGTACCGGTGGCCATCATCGACTTGTTACGCTTGGTCTGTTTCCGCTTCCGAATTTCAGTATCGACGTCGATCATCGCCGCTACCTTCTACACTTTTGCAACACGAGCGACGTCGCTGCCGAAAATAGCTGGAAGAATCTCATCATGGTTTTGGAGTCCATTCTGCGGCGTTCATGCGAATGAATCGCCGCACGTCAAATTATTTACGGAAAGTTTAACGGCGTAACGAGCCTTGATAATTTCGCTTAGGCGATTAAAGTGGTAAGACATTGCGATGAGGACGTAGAATCGACAATTCCAACGCGAAAAAGAGTATGCAGACGCCGACAACGTGACATTCGAGTGGTTTGTTGACGCGGGACGCGGTGCTTCTTGCCCGTACCCCATTACGCATGCGTTCGAACTGTCGTCTGCTCTTTGAAACTTGGCTGCTTTTTGTCGTCAGCTCGTTCAAACGACAGCGGCCCGTAAACCAAACGTTGACCCGGTAATTGCGATAAGAACTAAGTGCAGGCCTCAAAACACTTTTGAAGGTTGGTTGGGGTAAGTAGGCTAAGTGTAAACAGACACAAGAAGATGTTTATCATTATTGTTACCGGTGGCCATCACTGACTTGTAATGCCCGATTCTACTTGCGGTTTTCAGTATCGACGTCCACCATCTTAGCTACGGTCCACGCTTTTGCAGTCCGAGCAACGTTGCGTCTGAAAACAGCGACCAGAATCTCATCGTGGGAGTCAGGCGTTAGCGCCCGTTCTGCGGCGTCCACGTGAAATGAATCGCCGCACGTCACATTATTCACGCAAAGTTTTGCCTCGTTAGTTTTGTTGAAGCCGCTCAAGTAGTCAAACATTGTTAGGAGGAGGTAGCATCAACAATTCCAACGCGAAAAAGAGCACGGGGACTCCCATCGACGCCGACAACAACGCAATTCAATGGTTTGTTTATGGGCGACGGCGAGCTTCTTGCCCACCATCCACCGCGCATGCGCGGCGCCGGTGGCGTCCGCTAGGGGCGCTCCGGTTTGTTTGTAAACATGAGTTGGTGTATATTTCACAACAACTGCGCTTCGCGTAATATTACCAGCGCAATCAAACAGAAACAGCACGTTCATTGAAAATTATTTTTTTATTGAACCCCATTCAAATGAGTTGCGGTATTTCAAACACGTATCTACAAACTCCGTTGGCGGCCCACCGCCCTCGAAGGGGAACTAAGAACTGTAGTAGGAAGTAAACGCGGTAAAGTTGGCAAATATGTCGAGCGAAATTAATTTCTTTAATGTACAAACTAAGAAAAAAGCACTTATCATCGAATTATCTAAATGGCTCTATAAACAACTCCCACAAACAAAACTTCTGGATACCCAAACGAACAAATCAACACCGAAATACAGGAAAAGGCTTGCAGGTGAGCTGCTTAAGAATAAACGATAAATAAACCATAAACAAACTCGCTAATTGGCAATGCAATTAAGAAATAAAGAAAACAACTACTGTCTTGGAGCGACTACATATCTGACTGTAGGTGTTTTATCGGTACTCTATCCTATAATATAAAAACGACGCTGTCAAATTAACTGAAGATTGCTCTGACAGCAACTCACCCAGAGGAACCAGTCCTTGCAGCAACGGATTCGTAACAAGAGCGGTGGGGCACGCGTTTTTCCACAAACGAATCTTCCCACCGCTGGCAAACGCGGTAGCGCCGAAGTGCTCGCTGCACCAACGACGCTGGGGCAGCTTGCTCGTCGGTAAACCGGGCAGGCTTCCAAAGTCCTGGCGATTTGCATACGCAATCCATTTCGATGCTCTAATGGAAAATTCAAGTTTCGAGCGCTGACAAAAAAAAAAAAAAAAGTATATAGAGGTTCACCTGTCGTCTGTTGGAAACTGGAAAAATGAGCACTCCGAGTTCTTTTGAAGAATTGTTACACCACTTCACCGCGCTGTAGACTTTGTAATACGCCGTCATGAGGCACGCAACACACTCGGCAGAATCTCTGTCCAATTAGAGACGTACATCTCTAATTATTATAACCGCGCAGCAGCGTTGCACCGTAAAATCCGCGCTTTCGATTTTATCACGCGCGGAACGGTTTGAAAGCTTGGAATGACGAGCGAGCGCAAACAAAACAAAAAAGACAAAAACGGTCGTTTCCCTTCGCTTACTGATTGGTCGGAAGAGCCCAGAGTCCATCGCTTTCGGTAGCGAAGATCATATACAGGTCGCCAGCGCTCAAAATCATAGCGGCGAATATGGGCATAACAATTTGGTCGGAGTCGGCTGGGTAGACCTACGAATCTGCTCTTTGGATGGACGTACGAGAGAGAAGCCAGCGACGCGGCGCCCCTGTCGGCCCAATCGGGAACTCCGTTAGCTGCATTTGGCTGGCCGAAGGTCCAATCAAACAGCGCAAAAAGCGCAACGTGATGGCGTTCTCCGCTCTCGATAAGACGAGCCAGCGGAGGAGCACACGCAGAAAGACCGCGAACGTCGCTGGTCCTATCAACTGCGGAGAACAAGCCATGCCGGTGCGCCTTTTTCGCCGTTAGATTGGCCTTTCGGCTCGTAACATTGGCCACGCTCGGACCTAAGCTGAGACAAAGTGTAGTAAATTTCGTGCGAGCTGTCGCAAGACGAGCATGACAATAAATATTTCAGAACACATCATTTGAAAACTGCATAAAAAGGGGTGGATTTTACTCGTTCAATATAATGTCTGAATGAAGAAGAAAGCGTGAAAACAGACGACAAAAGTTACGTCGTTACTCTCAACGCTAATTTATAACAAAAGTAAGAGAACTATACAGTGGCAAGTTAGATGTCGAAAACGTTGCGCATTACAGTTAAAATTTACATAGGCAGTTACAGTAGCGTGTTGCTACTTAAGACGGAAAGATTCACTGCGCATGCTGAGGACGTGTTCCAAAGACAAGTCGATGAAGACGGCAGCACGCAGAAGGCTATTATTGGAGTTGTCTTTACTTGTTGTAGACAAGTTTGTGTTCGGAAATAAACGTGAGTGCTTGACAAATAACATAGAGTGATTGAAATCGCACTATTAAGTTTGTAAAAATGAGGAAGGTGGTGTTTTCACAGCTTACTCTACTATGATACTGGAGTTCTGGAGTCCCGTGCTTTTTTCGATAAACATTGTGCCACTTCACGAAGGATTCCTGGATGCCTCCCTTTATGAAAGTGCAAAATATTTAGGGATGTCAAAATACAATGTTCAGTAAAGAAACCAGGATTACTCACCGTAATAGTACTCTTTTTGTCAATCTCTTGGTTAAATGAATATACTGGGCCAATCTTCCAAAATTTAAATGTGGCTTTTACGTGGAAACATTGATTTTAGCTTCTTAAAAATTATGAGCGCGCTCCCATTAAGGTTGTAAGCTTGGATGTGAGCAGATGTAATTAGATGTTTGAATGCACTAAACTGTGATAGGCAAAAAGAAACTCGATTGTTTTGAGATCTGCCTGGTGAGCGTATGTATTAAGATGCATTTTAAAAGCCTGGGGGATCACCTAGCTCCTCCTGTTTATATTCAATTTTAGACGAACGTTCTTTTGTAGACATATAGTAACATATCTTTGCGCTTTTTAAAATGGGCTAGATTCAACCATAAACAATAAATTATTTAGAATTTTAAATCTTATTTGGAGCGATATTAAATTTGCTTGAAGCGCATGTACTTCAGTTTTTTGGTTCAGGTATAGTCCCTACTGCCTCCCAGAGAACTTTGAACTATCGAATCTATTCGGATTAAAAGTACAACTTGATTATTTGTTAAATGCGTTTTTAGTCTATGGTAACCAAGAGCTAAAAAGAGTTGCCTGAGATCGATAGAATTCTTGGATAATTTTAACTAACAGAAATAAAATAGACTGACTTACCATTACTTTTTAAGGGAACGAAGGTGCTTACCTTTTTAGGTATATATTCGGACTTCCCAAGCTCCTGTCCTGTACAAATAATTATACCCTCAGCTTAGTCAACAGAGAAGACTTATGCTGGTACATAAAATTCCAGTTTACTATTATCAGACACGACGTTTATGTTCGTGTGATAAGTACTGGTTAATAAAGAAATATATTTCTCGAAAGATTTTCTACTTGTCTCTAAAATCATGAATGATTCCAGCTTAAACTGTCCGCCGTCGAATAGTATAAATCATGTATTACAGCGAAGCTGCATATGACTCGTTGGTCAAATTTTTCCGTGTCGGCGTCCCCACGGAAAAAAAAAAAAAAAACACTTCAGCGATTGAATAGAAAAGTGCGTACATCGCGCATGCAACATAAAGCATTTCAATAAAGCACAAGCAGAAAACAGGCGTACGAACCAGATAATTGAAGATAAGGCTCTCCTGCTGACATGCAAAGCGCGTAGCGCTCACCGTTTACCGGTAAAGATTGCTGTTGCACAAAGCTGCTGCGGCGACGGCAGCTTGCGACGTGAGGAGGGAAGCCACTATAATATATAAAATAAGAGCCTTTTCTATAGTCCGCTTCACCTTATATCGGGACGCGGAAGACGCAACGAGCAATCCTAGCCAATCCCCTTATGTGGACATAGCCAGTGATTCGCTTTCGCGCGTCACTGTGGCCCTTCTCCAATGTCACGTGTCACTCGTACGGCCTTGGATCCGCTCGATGGTTCGTAACATCCGTGCTTGTACGTAAGGTGAAACCTAGTATAGCGACTGATTTTATTGTTTTTTTGCTGCACCGGTATGGGTAAGCTGCGCATAGTTAGAACTCCCAAGGAGCAGCGTGAATACTAAGAGCGGCAAAGGGAAAAGAAACGTCAATACGACCAACGGCGACGTGCTCCGACTAGCGGCAGAATTCGGTATAGTGCTGTGGGCAGTACAACATGCAGGAAATAGCACAGCTTCGCTGGCCAACCACCGTCACGGCGTAGATTGGAGCCGCAAAGTTTTTCAATGTTACGTTCATGGGATTGCTATAATATAAACTGATTAGTTCAACGACTGTAAAAAAAAAGATACTCAAAGTAGGGAGATAAGTGATGATGGTAGATGTGTTTGAAAGAAATATGGAGCCTCAAGTATGGGTTGATGTCTGAGTAAAAAAGCTAAGGCTATGGTATAGTTATGATCCCCGATGAAGGCACGTATGGCGTAAGATGAAAACTCATCGAAGAAATATTCATCACATGGTTGCGGCGTACCTCTGCCTTGTGCTCCTATTTCGGGACGATTTGCCGAAACAAAAGGATGTTTAGAAACCGATCTTTACTGGAAACAAGTCTCACGACGCAGATAACGCTTTATAAGCCTTTTCTTTTACTCGGGGAATGTCATTTTTTTTTCTACGGGTTTCTAATTCAGGGACTTATAACTATGATTATTAGTTCAGTGTTCCTAGGAGTTCCTATACAAAGTATAAGCAAGTATAAAATGGTTTACACGGCTCGTGCTAACATACGATGTAGGTAACATATTTAATTATTATAGAGTGAGACAAGAATGTTTAATACCTTCTTGACCGAAGATAGTTAAACCTTCACAACTAAAGGTTGAAAAAAGTTTAATATTATTATTAGTAGTAATTACATTGGTATTAAAATGGAACATCTTTGAGACACATATTTGTTTCGCTTTTGAGTTTCTTGCAATGGTTGTTGGCACTTATCCGAAGCGTAAACTGACTGAAGACCTGAATACTTATACCAGAATATACTATAACAATTTATACAATCTCAGAGGTTTTTACATCAGTGCACGTTCCAACATCGCATGCATGGATTGATATACCTCGCATTAGTAAAAAAAAAGCTCAATTCGGCCAAACAATAACATAAATACAGGGAACACAGTCGAACAGAGGGCGCGTGGTGAAAAATGAATATCTTGAGACGCCATTGGTTCTAATGACCTGGATGCTACAGTGCTATCTTCGTGGAGTGTTGCATCCTTATCAAGAATATGTCTAGTGATATCAGGGCCAGCATTGTTACCAACCTACTATGCAATCAACAAAGAAGGTGGCTATAGCGGTCAATTGGTTAAATGTTGCCGTCGAAGATAAGGACTTTCCTCGTTGGTACGAGCCCGAGGGCACTAGCGATTAAACATTGCGCTCTCACATATTCTCAAAGTCGATGGAACCATCTTCTATTATATCGCCAACAGTGAACACGCTCTAAATTGAACCTTTTGCTTTTGATACGATATTGAACTTATTGAAACTTGACCTTTGGGACTGGAATATCTTCTGGTCTCTATAGTCCGCGTCACTAGTTGCGTGCAGTGCAGACGAAGGCAACGCCAGGCGAGGGGAGAAAGGGCAAGCACTAAGAAGGCTGGGGACGAGGAGAGAACCCTTCTCTCCTTTCTACCGTTGCAAGTGCTCTCCCTTTCTTCCCTCGCCCTCCATTACCCTCCTCTCCCGTCCCGCCTTTCCAGTGCTCGCCCTTTCTCTCTTCGCCTGGCGTTGCCTTCGACTGCACTGCACGCAACTAGTGGCACGGAGAATATACTCTTTTACCGTAGCTTTAGTACAGACTTGTGCATACACCCACTAAACGCATTCACAGCTCTCTCGACCTCCGGCTCACAGTCTCTAAATATTACTCTAATAAGAAAACTTCGCCGAAAACTTGATCGTTTTTTTTTTTGTCAGAGTAATAACTAAACTTGATCCCGGTACTACATCCTGGATCTCACAATGTGTTAGATAACACGCACTTATCCCACTTCTCGTGTGCGCTGCTCATTAATAAATGCCAAGTACACGCAGGCCATACTATACAACAAGTGTCTTGCGCATTCACTCACTTTCGGAGCCAATTCGCCGAATCCTGCACAAGTTATGGAGTGTCTGCCACACAGCGGTGCTCCTTGCTATGATTAATATTTGGTACGGCCGCGTAAATGGAGTGGTGACTTTTAAATAATCCGGGAAAAGATGGAGAGTAATACATTTCGCCTTTTGGTAAACTCTTTGCCTCTCTCCTACAAATGCAGGCAACGTTGCTATTCTTAGCCGCAGAGTCGAAGATTTTATATTTCGATTGCCAGACGTGCCCATTTTGATCTGAATGATCATAGTACCGGTTCGTGTCGTATTCCTAGTTTAACTACTGAGCGAGGTACGTTCAACACCCCAGGCTAGAAGTCGCAGTGTACTTGCCAAATTACTCACATTCAGCAGGGACTCCAGATGCCTATAGGGGCTGAATAACTTATCGCTATCTAAATATCCATTCAACGGAATTAGAATTAGATAAGTGTTATCTATTACTCACAAAGTTTCCGCACGTCAGTAAAAGAAAAGCGGCTGGCTTGAGTCGGTATGCGCATGCCAATTCATTTAAAATTTTGGGAATCAATAACAAAACCTCAGAGTATAACCTACCTTGAGAGAGGACTACGACGGAGGATAATGTAGCGATAAGAATGAATCCAGTACCCTTCATTTCACTGTAGTCTATTGAAGCGCGGAGTTCAACTGAGATGCTGTTTTTACCGATATACGTGTACTTATAGTTGTCCAGCACTGGGTACGTTGAGAACTTGATATCTAAAGCCAAATGTCATTCATTGTTTTCATCTGCGCGAGAGACCGCCTTGTTCTTTTTCATACACAGGACGGGCGTCAAATATCTGCTTGGTGGAATTTCTTTTGTTGTTTTTGACCTTTTAATAAATAAGCACTGTATAGAAGAGGACCTTTATTTTTTGCTTCATGCTCTTTCGATTGGAGTATGAGATTGGATTTCTCGAGAATTCTTTCAAATCTCAAAGGCTCTATGTAAGCTACATTGTTGGTGACGAGTTTGAGTTTGATTGTGATGAGGTTCCTTATTTGAGGTCTGGTGTTTCTGTTCACTGTCTTTTTCATTTTCCGCCTTGCTCACCTTTGGTACTCGAGCTATTCATGTACACATACACATACCCAATTGCGCACTGTGCTCGCGAACACCTTAATGATGTAATCAACAATGCCTTATATTGCAAAAACAATGATATAAAGAGGAGTTCATACCAATTTTTTCTTTTGTATTTTCCGCTTTTACAAAAGAACCGCGTGATTGTTTAGAAGCCAAAATTGTTTCGTCTTGAGTGGTGTTGTTCAACTAACTATTGAATATTAGAACAATTTTGTCTACTTTTTATTACAATAAAAAAAGACGAGTGTCTTAGTGGTTCGATAACTATATTCTAGATATTGTTTCTTGTGAAGGGGGGGGGGGGGGGCGACAACTACACCCGACATGGTTGTGCGAGGGGCGACGGCTGAGAGGAGAGCGATCGAGCTTTAGAGCCTGCACTCTCTCTCCCCAATCACACGGGTCTTTGCGTACGAAGAACGACAGACTTCTACCTTTTAATCGGTTATCACCCCGGGTGAACCTAGAATTGAACCATTGCATTCGACATTCCTCAGGTGACCAGATGTCGCTACATTTTAGAATTAACTTTCCTGACAGATTCTCAAAGGCTGCCACAGATTACCGTGTCTTCCGGGGGGCGGCGTTCACTACACATTTTTCATGTGATATGACGGGAATACGTCTTTTACGTGACGCGCGAGATGATATAATATTATGTACATAATGTAGTTCTTCACTTTTGTTACTTTTTCGTGTTTTCCCATACAAAGGAGGTTGTGTTTTTGCTATTTGCCAAAAAAAAAACGCAACTTTGATCAGTAAGCATTCTTTACCAAGAACAAGAATGCACACCAAATACAAGGCCGAAAATAGAACATAGACGATTTACACACAAGTCATACACAATATCGCACGTATGAAAGGTTAAACCATTGTAAATATTTAACTCACTTTGTGCAGCGACTGAAGCGAGCACTAGTGCAAGGATGCGAATAAATCCATGGCACGTCATTCTTCTGTACTTGATTCATGCGTTATGAGTAGCTCAATGGCCAGTTCAGGGCTTAAAGTGAGCCCCACAATGCGGAAACAAGCACTTGTCATCAAAGTGATGAATATAAATTTGTATTTTCTTAATCTCAGCAGGGGGTAGCAGCACCCTTTTAAAACACTCGACATGCCTTAGAAATATCCACCAGATAAATGTCTTGTGTGATATTTGCAACCTTCCATTCAGTACTATTGTATTGGATGTGGCCAGGATTATTTGGCATTTCCGATTTGAACATGACATTGCTTCTGGCAAGAATTGTGACACATATCAGAATCTACATGTGAGCTACATTGTTCGGAGTGGGTTGAAGTTCTTTAAGTTGGTGCTGAGATTGCTTTCTTTTCCTGTGACTTGTTCGCAAACACCAGCTCGAGCTATTTATATAAATATTCTCGTAAACATTCCCACAGAGTAAAAAACAGGTACCCAGCGCAACAGGTCGACCGGAAAAGCGCTGACAGAGTACAGAGCAATCATCGAAGAAAGAAAAGCAGCCAGAGGAACCAACACGAATAAGGCAAAAACAAACGCACGGCAAAATCTTTTGTGGATGTTTTTTTTAGCAACTGCGCCGAATTATTATTCGTTGTACCAATGCTTTTTAGTAAGAGATATCGTCCACGAACTTCAAAACACTGTTTTCCCTTGGACAGAATCCCGAGAAGAAGATTGAACACTTGGAACCTTAATGAGTGCAGAGGAGGTCAACAGCCAAATTATTACCCTCAATATGTAGGCTATATAAGGCTCTGGAGCAGTCAACGGACTGTGAATCAGCTGTTCAGTGCTATATGCTGTTTGTGTTGGTTTCTAATGTGCAGTTCTGGGATGTATGTAGCAGCACCTTCAAGAAATCAAGGACACCATTTACTAACAAAACGAAAATAAAATTAAAAACAAATTGTGTAGCCGGTTTTTAATACACAGATGGCATCTTGAGAGTGAAGGAATTTTTCGCTATATTTAAAAGATTTACTGATTGATGTTTATGATATTTTTTGAATACCTTACACGGATATGTCGAATGTGGACAAAATGATAAAAATTGTATACAAAGTTAATATGCATATTCAATATATTTCAACTATGTTTCAAGCACAGCCTATTTTTGCCAAGGACCCAAATTCGCGCTTGATTGTCCTGCAGACCTGCTCGCAGATCGTTACCAGGAGCGATTTCGGATACCCAGCTTCCTGTAGTCGCGAGACATGGGTTTTAAAACTTTGCTCGATTTGATGGTGACAGGTCTTCTTTAAGGCGGATATGAGGGCTGTGGTGGCCACCCCTCGTTTTACATTCTTGGAGCGGTGTGTATGGCCTTTTCTTTATGTGAATGTTTTTTTCGAGTTCAACTGGCCTCACCCGATGATCCTCATGAAGGTCGCCATAGAAAGTCGCCGGCCTCCGTGGCGGGGCCTGCACGTAGACGATGGAAGTCGGTGGTGTTCCGTCTTGCTGCGACGTGGTATTCATCGTGGCCGCAGTCCCTCTTGGCTCCGACGGTCGAGAGGGGAATTCCTGGGCCAAGCCTTGTGTACGGAATCTGGTCCAGGATTTATGTTCGTCAACGGGGATAAGCTTTCGTGGACTTGAAAAAGATGGAACCAAACAGATCTTCTGAGGGGTACGTTTCACGGGTCGGAAACGCGGTACCCCGCGACTCCGCCAAAATGTCACGAATGGCAGATGATGAGGCAACGATTGAATGCGGAAACTAAACGTTTAATGGGGCGAACTTGTGTCCAAAACAAAACAGAAAAAGACTAGCGTCGCAGGCATCGATGGCGGCATAACAGCAGGATCGAGCGCTGGGGTGAGACTGATCGCGGTTTGCCACGCGGAACCCCTTATGTACACGCTCGGGGCTCTGAAACAATCGGCGTAGAAAGTTCAGCGCGTAGAGCATTCGGTCCTTGAATAAGCAACAGTGTTCTCGAAGTCACTAGAACGCGACAATTAGAGAAGCAAGAAAAAAAAAAAAAAAAAGGCGTCCGCTCCAAGGCATCGAACCTCGGCCCTTTGAGTTGGAGCCACATTTGGTTTTGGAGTTGGTATACTATTTTGACTGAGCAACCTTTAAGAACACCAGCCCTTAGCAAATGTGTTTTTCTTAAGGTTGACGTGGTGCTCGTTATCTAAGTCGAAAGGTTAAATAATGACTTCTGAAAGCACGCTGAACATGTAAGGTTTTGTATTACCAAATATTGCAATAGCTCTTGTGAGGTAATTAATGCTTGCTCTGTATACCTATTGACTAAGATAGAGACTTTTATTTTACAAATTGTTGCGAGTAACAAAAGAACAAATACGCGTTAGTGTAAACGAAATTTAGGAATATCTTAATTTGTTAATAACTACTCAGCTTCAATCTGTCAACCTCGCGTGTTCTCATGTGCGGAGCTCCCGCGGTACCGCCTTAACATGAATATTCCACTCTACGTAGAGGCAAGAGACCCCATAGACTGAAGGTCGATAACCCGAATGTATCTGCGAAATGAGATGTTTTATATATATATATATATATATATATATATATATATATATATATATATATATATATATATATATATATTATATATATATATATATATATATATATATTAAAAAAAGCTTCTTTGGTGATTTTGCTGAGAGGATTTAACTTTTTTAAAGTTTAAAACTGTTCGAAACGTTTGTAACTCTTTGTGAATATTGGTAAAGGCATTAGAAATTCGTCCGGTCACATTGCAGCTTTATTTTTCTTGATAAAGCACTTGGTAGGGGAGAGCAGGGTAACGCCGCAGCCCATCGGGAAATATTTTCCAATTATGATATTTTTCATTTCCTCCAGATTGTGGAGCCCACCTCGCATGGCTGACTTAAGGCTCTGTTATACTCAAACGTTTAGCGTAGAATATGCGGCGTAACGCAGCACCCACAGACACTCCAGGGTCGCAGATATTCTGTTGCAGCTGACCGGCCAATGAAAAACGCTCGTTTTGCGCTCAGCAGCGTTTGCTGCGCTCAACGTTGGAGAATAAAAGAGCCTTAAGGAAACCGCCAGCGCAACCGACAGAGCAAGCGTATGGCGCCAAATAAGCAGCGACAAAAACGCAACATGAAGGCGATTGTCATCCGTCTCTGTGGGGGTGCTTTCGCTAAATCAATCAAGCGCAGTGAATGCACCGTGACCTCTCACATGAAACATGTTCTTGTTATACCTTTTGATTATACTCTGACCTATTGTGAAAGGTTATACACTGGTCCTGTAAACAACTTGACGGAACTGACAGGTGAATTGCTTCCATTGGGCCGTTGTCTTATGTCCTCTCTTCTTCTGCAATCCTCCTCGCCCGTCGCATTTTTACGGCGCGTGAGAGCGCCGCCAAAGTAGGCCCACCATTACCTTTATAAAATAAGAAAACAATAAGCCAATGAACGGAGTGTGGGGAAACGTTTCACGAACTATTACTTAGGTGGTGCATTTGTCACACTCAAATATCCGTGTACTTTTCTCAAACAAAAAGGCAAACAAAAAATAACGTGTTTTTTCTATGCGCCGTGTAAACGAATGTACACATCGCGACGCTGCTAGCGCCAATACGTCATCGGCGCAATTTCGCATTTTACTTCTAAATAGTATTAGCGGGCACGAAACGTTATCGCTTACATTATAGACCTAAATGAGCTCTTTTCGTAGCAACAATAACTTGGATGACATCCCTTTGGTTTCAAAGAGAAAAGCTGGAAAAACCGGCGATCGGTTGTTGGCGCTAACAGTGTCGCGCACTGTACAGAAACCGTGTTGTTGACGCTGCTACACACAGATGGCGCAAGAGGTGTCCTGGCGTTGATATTAGAGTCGGTGTCTGAGCTGCGAAAACCGCCGCCCGATCCAAAAAA